CTCCTCCAGTGCTGTACGTCGACAACCAGGCTGCCATTGCCTTGTGTGAGGAGCACAGACTGGAGCACAGAACGAAGCACATCGCCCTGCGGTACTTCCTTGCTCGAGAGCTGCAGCAGCACGGTCAGCTTTGTCTGCGTTACGTGGCCACTGAGGCCAACCTTGCTGATGTGTTCACCAAGGCGCTTCCGCCTTGTGACCATCAGCGCTTCTGCACTCTGCTAGGCCTTGTGCCTACTGGACCTCACTTACTTACCTCTTGACCTTGCTTGTACTGTGATCACTATATATATATCTACCTGCATGTTTACTGTTGCTAGGTTGTGATCACTGTATCTCATGCTCTGTTATAAACTTGCATGTGAACTGGTCTTGTGACCACTAGCTTGTGCTCGGAATTTGTGTGGTATCCTTGAGATCCACCCTGAGCTTGTTGTTGCCTTGCTTTGCCTTGACTGGTCTTGTGACCCCTAGGTCTCCCCCACTTTGCCTATGGGGGTGTGTCAAACATTATATATGTTGTGTTTGTGTAGGCTGTAGTGGGTTAGCCTATAGGGGGGTCACAACATTAGGGTTTCATATTTGTACTCACCATCCTTTCTAGTTCCTCATTCCTGCCTGTTCATTCTGACAGGTGCCGCATGCCGCAGCATCGCCTTCTCTGCTCCCTATCCCCACATGTGGTCCATCTTCCCCAGCATGGGCCTCGCTAGACCTAGTGTGGCCCACAATGTTTCTGCCTGCGAGAAGGGGACATGTGAGGAGACAATGGGCAAATCGAGGGGACTATCGATGCCGGAGTGAGCATATGCACCATGGCATAGGCCATTAGCCAGTACTCATTGATGTGTAATGCCATGACTGCATGCATGATGGCCTATGCATGACTTTGGGAGGCACCATTCACAGCATGTATGAAAGAATGAGTGCCTCATAAAACTAGAACCCCTATGCCAACCCAAGGCATAACCTCTACCCCTTTCACCCCCTTCCCCGACCACCCCTTGTGTTACGTACTCCGGTCACGCATGTCGGCGTACGTTTTCCCCCTTCGCGCGCCACCCCACCCGAAGACTTTGGTTGCCGTCGCCACCTTCCCATTCTTATCTATTTTTGATGCAGGGAAGTTGTATGTCAAGCCTTCAATCCCTCTTGGTTCACGAGCAGCAATCGTTGATGTTTCACCCCTGGCCTTTCTCTCAAACTCTCGCTTGGAAACTGTCAAATGAATCTTCACTGTTCCCTCAGCCATACTCCCATCGGTTCCTGCATGCATGGCGGCGGGTGGGCATTAGTGAAGAACTATTCCCTAGCCGCATGATAGTGAACGCGTTTACGCAGTGGCTCGTCACCTGCTTTGCGTGCTGCATCAAGAAGTGTTTCTTTTGCACAAGGGCCTCCTTCTAGCAAATAAAACACAAGGTCTGCCAATGTTGCTGTGCGTTCGTTGCAAAACAGTGCGGTCAATCCACAGCGCATATAAGCTATTGGAACTTGCATGTTTGAGGAAACTGCTAGGTTAGGGCTGTCCTTGTTGTTTATAATTTCTACCACCTCTTTTTCCCATTCCCCCATGCCAGACGTCTGTCTCGCATGGGGTTGTCGCAACAACCGCGACAACGTCATTGGGGTGACAACGAGCTATCAAGGGAGCCTCTCGCCAAGCGGAACGGACATTATGCAGAGACTAAGCTCTCCTCTATAAGTCTACTTACATGTTCTTGGCTGCGAGGAACTAGGTGCGAATAGGTTCGTAGTATAGCTTGACAATATTAGATAGAGGCTATGTTGTTTGCTAGGTCACGTAATGAGATGGCGTTATGCCTTGTTGCATGAGTTTGGTGGTGGGGAAAGTTGGATTCTTGGCGCGCAGGTTTCTGTACAGTTTGGTGCGCTGTTTCCCGGTGCCCCGTCCCCCTCGAACCACACCCCCGCTATGTGCGAAAAGTGTCTGGTGTTTCGGCTTTTTCGTTTTCATTTCAGTGGGGCAAAACATCGCGCCCCAATCAGCAGCTTCTTTGGAACAGTGCGCCCTCTGTCGCGTCACTGTTCCTAAGATAGTTGCACCCCGGCTTTAAGCGGGAATGTGAACTGGGCACCAGCACTCGTAAGTTTTTCATTTTCCATCGTCCGGACGGAGGTCCCGTCAGGACTTTGGTAGGGTAACTAGTTTCGTGATATTTGAGTGAAGCTTTCGCAGACCCTCGGCGACGTCGCTACCGTCCGAACAAAATCTGACACTTTCCTGCCAAAAGTCGTCCGGACTAACCTGCTGACACCGTGCGAACGGCATTTCGGACCGTCCGTTTTTTCTGCTCGGTGATTGGGGCGCGAAGTAGGTCAATTAGTCAACCAATTATGTGCCGCTTATTCTTTGTGGCGAAGATTCCAAGGGCTGTACGATTTCAGTCATGCGTGTTATATTACGTGGCGAAATCCATTTTTTTCGATAGTGCAAAAGTTCCACAATTGTGACCCGGACGCCCTATCGTCCGGACCTGATTCCCAAACGTCCGGACGGAGCTCCGTCCGGCCGATTTGGAGGCTCTGTCCGGACATTTGACGAAAACGGAAAAAGTTACGCGCCCTAATGCCACACGCGTCCACGCTATATCGCATTCCACGTCACCCACGCTTCCCCTCCCTACGGCTGCCGCCATTTCCCCGCGATGGCATTTTGCTGATCGAGCCGACTGAGGGACTCGCGCTGCCGCGCCGTAACCACTCCATGTCTCTCGACCGTTCCAGGCGGCGTTGACACGCCAAAGACTCGTGCCGCGATGCGAGTTCCCAAGCATTTTTTCTTGGAACGCCACGTGGCTCGTGCCGCGATGCGAATGGAACGTGGATCGCCCCTTCTGCGGTCGACAGCGCTGGTCGCAGCGTGGGCCGCGTGCCTTCTGGCCGTGCTCGCCCTCAACTCGCCGCTCTCTCAGGTGCCCTTGCCCGCGTGCCTCTCGCTGGCTCCCGTGTGTGCCTTCCGCCTCCTTGCCTCCCCGAGCGCCAATTCCCCCGCCTTTCCCTCATCCACCCCACCGTACCCTCATCCACCCCACCGTACCCTCATCCACCCCACCTTACCCTCATCCACCCCACCTTACCCTCATCCACCCCACCTTACCCTCATCCACCCCACCTTACGCTCATCCACCCCACCTTACCCTCATCCACCCCACCTTACCCTCATCCACCCCACCTTACCACTACATCTTCCCCCCTGCGTCTCCCGTCCCAGCCTCTCGCACTCCAAACGCTTCTTCCCTCTCCCTCTCGCCGCATGTATTCGTTACAGCCCGCGGAGGGTGCGGAGCAAAGGGCGGAGGGGAGCGCGGAGCCGGAAGCGCACTGGCGGAGAGCAGCGGGCGCGCAACAAGGGGTGTGGGGGGAGTTCGACTGGGAAAGATATGGGGAAGGGGCGGCGAGTGGGGAGGAGGGTAGAGCAGCGGGAGTGAGGGGTGCGGGGGAGGAGAGGCGAGGAGGGGCAGCGGCAGAGGGCCAAATCCCTCCAAGCAGGCGGCTGCTGGTGGCGGTGATAGGGGGCAAGGCGGTGGGGGGGGGGATGGGGGCGAGGGGAGGGCGGGGGGAGAGGGAGATAAGGGGGATGCGGTGGGTGATGGGGAACTGGAGCAAGCGGTGGATAAGGGGGTTGAGGGTGGAGGAGAGATGGAGGGGACGACGGAGGCAGAGAGAGCCATGGGGGAGAAGGAAGGGGGGGGCCTGCGTGATGGTGGCAATGCAGATGGGTCAGATGGCAATGCAGATGGGTCAGATGGCAATGCAGATGGGTCAGATGGGTCAGATGATGGCATGGGGTCATTTTTAGAGGTGGAGGGTAGGGCGTTGGAGACGGAGGGAGAGGGGAAGGAGGGAGAGGGGAAGGAGGGAGAGGGGAAGGAGGGAGAGGGGAAGGAGGGAGAGGGGAAGGAGGGAGAGGGGAAGGAGGGAGAGGGGAAGGAGGGAGAAGGTATGGATGGCTCAGAGGCAGGTGGTGCATGGGGGGGGGGGGGGTGACGCACGGCCGGAGGGCAGCACAACGGGTGGTGGGTGGGGGGAGGCGAGGAAGGGAGTGGAGGTGGCAGCAGCATTGGGAGAAGCAGAGGGTTCAGACAGTAATATGAATGTGCTGTTCGACATCCCTCCTCCTCCTCCTCTTCATCCTGCTGCTGCCCCTGCTTCTGCTGCTGCTCCTGATGAGGGTGCGGCACAGCAGGGTGCGATGGGAGGGGCTGAGGCGTGGAGAGGAAGTGAGCACGTTGGGGAGCAGGTGATGCAACGCACCCAATTCACTCACTGAACTCACTCACTCATTCACTCACTCACTCACTACCAGTTTCCCTCCTGCTTCTCTCCAACTCCCCCCCACCCTCCCATCTCCTGCTCTCCTACCTTGCTCGCGTCCCCTGCTGACAACCACGTGCCCCTTGCCTCGCCCAGCCTCACCGCGCCACCCTCGCCTCGCCCCGACCTGCCACCATCCCCTCGCATCGCATCACCCACCGTGCAGCGCTGCCCCTTCCGTCCCCGCAGGTGGCATCCAAGCCAGCGCACCTGTGGCGGGTGGCGGTGTGTCTGGTGGGCGGGGCACGCGACTTTGAGCTCATGGGGCCATCCATAGTGCAGCGCCTGCTGCTGCACCCGTGCTCTTCCTGCACGCGCCCCTTGACGAGGCCGCCTTCAAGCTCTGGCCGCTGCTCTGGGCCGCTGCTCTGGGCCGCGCGGCGTGGCGTGGCGGTGGGGGCGGTGAGGGTGTTCGCCAGCACGTGGGTCAATGAGAGCGCCCTGCCTCCGGGGGTTGTGGAGGACCCCTCCTCGCCACACGGCACACAGGTGGGCGGGAGGGGGATTGCAACTCGTTTGGCGGCATACACTTGCATGCTCGCGTGCGTGCATGCAAGCAACATGCTGTGCACCCGTGCTGCCTGCCTACCCACCACCTCACCCTCGCAACCCTTCCCACCCCGTGCACTGCACTGCACCGCCTCCCCCTCTCACGGCAGGGCATGCTGCAGTACTTCCGTCTGGTGGAGGGGTGCATCCCTCTCATCCGAGCCTACGAGCGCCGCCACGCCTTCACCTTCGACTGGCTGCTGCGCACGCGAGTCGACACCTTCTGGCACTGCCCCCTGCCGCCGCTCGCCGCCTTCCCCCTGCACGCCTACACCATCCCCTTCGGCTCCGACTGCTTCGGTCTCAATGACCGCTTTGGCCTCGGCACGTGGGGGACAGCCCTACCTGCGCTCTCCCGCCTCTCCATGCTGTCCGCCATCGCTGCGGGCGGCAAGTTTCGGCGGTTTTCCATGCAGGGCGTGGGCGGGCTGGGGCAGGAGGCGAGCAACCCACAAGCCATCCCCGTGGAGTAGGTGGTGCCTGGGAGGGGCACGCGGCCGGGGGTGTGTGGGGTGGGTTGGGAACAGCACAGTTGGTTATGGCATGCGGGGTGATGCTCGTGATGCCCTATGGCCTTCACTTCTCTCGCCTTCACTGCTCTGGCCTTCACTGCTCTGGCCTTCACTGCTCTGGCCTTCACTGCTCTGGCCTTCACTGCTCTGGCCTTCACTTCTCTCGCCTTCACTGCTCTGGCCTTCACTGCTCTGGCCTTCACTGCTCTGGCCTTCACTGCTCTGGCCATGCTCTACTTGCGCCATCACCGTGTGAAAGCACGGCCTCTCCCAACACGAGATAATTCTATTGATGAGGCCCCTGCCGCCCCTCCCGCCTTCCCACCCGTGTGCAGGGTACCAACCGGGCTGAACTCAGAGCAGGCGTTCAAGGCGCAGCTGGCGCTGGCGGGGGTACCGGTGGCGCGGGCGGACCTGTCCTTCTGTGTGGTGAGCCGGCGCGTGTACCGCCACCACGCCATGCCCGTGCTGTCGCTCAATGCTTCCACGCCCCTCAACGGTGCCAAGTGCCGCCCCTGCTACCCCAAGATGGAAGGCGCCCAGGTGAGGCCTGCCGCTAGGCGGGCATGGGATGGGGGTGGTGCAGTGCACAGGGGGAAGGGGCGCGCGCGTGCATGCACGGGTACGAGCCGCACGTGCTCCTCAAGGCGCATGGATCAGTTTTTGTGACGGGCAGCGAGTGCATGTGCATGTGCATGTGCATGTGCGCAACCCTGGTGTGCTTCTCAAGTCGCCATGCCATCTGCCCTCCTGCTCCTGACTCCTCGTGACCCCATGGCTCCACTCCACGCGGCAGGCCAATCTGCGCATCCGCCGGTGGTACCTGGAGGGCTCACGCTTCGGCCCCCACCACTCGCCGGCATTCATCAACCGCACCGCCTTTGCGCTGTGCGATGCCGCCAAGCCGTGGCCTGCCCCTCACCTGGCGGCGGCCCTGTTTGATGCCGCTGCGGGGCCGCGCCTGGCGAGGGAGCGGCGGTCCATCATGCACGTCACCCTGCAGGGGTGCGCAAAGAACTTCAGGAAGGTACGCAGTAAGTGCGGTAATAGCACTCGTGACGCGCCGTGCAGTCATGGGCGTCAGCCTGCACAAGTGCGCACGCAACTTCAGAAAGGTAGGGGGGTCTGTTGAGCATGCGTTCAACGTATTCGCCTCGTGAAGTGAAGCGCCAGTCACCGCACCGCATGGGTTTTCTTGTCTGCGTGCGCCTCTGCTCCGCGTGGCCTGCATGCCCAGTGCCGCCTCTCATCCGCCTCTCTCTCCTCTCCGATTGGCCCCCCCAGCTGCGGCGGCACGCGGAGGAGTGGCAGGCGCCAGCAGAGGCGGTGCTGTGCTTCCGGTCGCAGTTGGGGGAGGTGCACCTGCTGGGGCCGCCCGGCCAGTGCTTCTACACCGCGCTGCAAGGGGTCAACCGCACCAGGTGCGTGTCACTCACACGCTCCCTGCTCGCTGCATTCACACGCTCCCTGCTCGCTGCACTCACACGCTCCCTGCTCGCTGCATTCACACGCTCCCTGCTCGCTGCATTCACACGCTCCCTGCTCGCTGCATTCACACACACGCTGCTCGCTGCATTCACACGCTCCCTGCTCACTGCATTCACATGCTCCCTGCTCGCTGCACTCACACGCTCCCCACCACCGCATGCTGCCCTCACAGTCGCCAACAGCCACTCGCAACCACTGTGGTGCTCGTCACTCGTTCCCGCCTGTCTTTCTCGCCATGTGCCCGCCAGCGTGGTGATGACAACCACTCCAAGAGCCGCGCATGCCAAGGGCTCGTGGGAGTGGAGCATGCGGCGCCACTCACCTGGCCTGCACGTCACCGCACTCCCCGCTGGCCCCGCACATGCGTCCTCCCCCACCGCCCACACACTCAAGGTGCCCTCCGCTGCTGCCCTGCCTTCCATGCTCTTCCTGGCTGTCCTGTGCCATCCCTTGCTCCTGTGCCCCACGTGTGCCCCATGTGTGCCCCATGTGTGTACCATGTGTGCCCCATGTGTGCCCCATGTGTGCCCCATGTGTGCCCCACGTGTGCCCCACGTGTGCCCCATGTGTGCCCCACGTGTGCCCCACGTGTGTCCCATGTGTGACCCACGTGTGCCCCATGTGTGCCCCACGTGTGCCCCATGTGTCCCCATGTGTGCCCCATGTGTGCCCCATGTGTGCCCCATGTGTGCCATGCACTCGTCACAGCTCGCCATCTATCATGCATGTGCCTTTACGACTGCTGATGCCCTCAACCCCCCTCTTTCCCTTTCACTCTTCGAATGCATCTCCACCCTGTCCCCTTCTCCCCTCCTTCCACGTCTTGCCTTTGTCCTGCTCCTTCTGTTCCCTTTGCTTCTTCACCCCACGCCATCCCACATCCCCCACGCCATCCCACGTCCGCCGTCGCCGTCACAGGCGGCGACCTGCCACTCATCTTTGACTGCCACAAGCAAAACGCTTCACTGCCCGCTGCTGCTTTCCAAATCCAACCCCCCACCCCTCCCCTTCCCCCCACTCCCCACTTTCCATCTCTGCATGCAGCTCTCACTCACAGGCGCCGACCTGCCACTCATCTTCGACTGGCACAAGCAAAACGCCTCACTGCCCACCTGCCAGCTGCTGCTTGCCTTCCCAGACGCAGTGCCCCCACCCGACCGCAATGCAACCATCACTGCGCTGCACCAGCTGGGCTTCCATCTCATGGCCTGCATTCAGGAACCACGTGTAACGGTAGAGAGGTGCTCCTTCTTCTCTCTGAAATACTGCTCGCAGCTCTTAGGTATCGGGCCAAAGGCAAGGGTTGTAAGACAGTGACAATATCAATGAATAGCGAGGTGTTTCTTTTCAGATGGCAAAAGCATCAATTCCATCCCGTGCAAGGCGAATCCCCACACATATTTCAAGCTTGTTACTATATATCCACGCCCACTAAAAACAAAAACAAAAACAAACAGAAAACAACCATTATAGCAGTATCTCTAGGCTGCTTGAGATTCTGACCACCAGCATACGGTATACGCAGTAGGCTTGTCACTTTCAAATATCCAAGCTTCAGAGGGTGGCAACGTTTCTGTAAAATAAGTCAACCATTTTCGCAGGTACATAAATAAAGACATTTAGAAAATTTACTGCGTTGAATGTAATGTAATGTAAGGGTTCTACCCAAACATTTTCCAGCAAATATGTATATACCTATTTATTTGATGAATTTGCGCTGATGCTCCTGGAGTTACGAATGTTCACGAATCAACAAGAGGCCTCTCTCTTCATCCACTTCCACTTCTCTCCCAACAGAGCAGCCACTGGCTCTCTTCCCTTGGGTCCAACTGTCCTCGCTACAGCCATTGCCGCTGCCGCTGCCAGCTTGACTGACATCCTTGCTGTGGCTAGGGGAGCAGAACGAGTAACGCTCTTTTGGTGGTGCTGAGAGGGCAGACGGTGCCAGTGGCAAGGAGCCGTGCTTGTTGGGCGGAGGCGATGCGAGCATGAAGAAGAAAGCAGCTGAGTAGATGCACACATGCCACACACTGCAGTGGATGAGGGAGATGCGAGTGAACGAGGCACCGACAGGAGGGGGATGAAGTGCACGGGGAGGGAGGGCAGGGAGGAGAACAGAGTAACGTGGATTCTGGAAGAAGGGATGGGCCGTTGTGGCCATGGTGGAAAACAGCAGCAATCACTATTCATGCACAGGAATTGGTGCAAACAAGAGATTGAAGAGGTTGCCCGACCTCTCCCCTCCTTCCTCCCCCACTCTTCTCTCACTGATGGCGCGGTTTAGCACGAGCGCACACTCCCCTCCCACATACACACACATGCACACATGCACACATGCACACATGCACACACATGCACACACATGCACACACATGCACACACATGCACACACATGCGCACACATGCACACACATGCACACACATGCGCACACATGCACACACATGCACACATGCACACACATGCACACACATGCAAACACACATGCACACAGGCACACATGCACAGACATGGACGCATGCACGCATGCACACAGACATGCACAGACATGGACGCATGCATCTAGACATGCACAGACATGGACGCATGCACACACACATGCACAGACATGGACGCATGCACACAGACATGCACAGACATGGACGCATGCACACACACATGCACAGACATGGACGCATGCACACAGACATGCACAGACATGGACGCATGCACACACACATGCACAGACATGGAAGCATGCACACAGACATGCACGCAATCATGGCAGGTCACCTGTGCCAGATCCAGTAGGTGTCGGGCACCTCCACGAGGAAGCTTGAGGCAGCGAGCAGCGCAGCCAGCACGCCCAGCAGCAGCGAGGGCAGGTGGAAGGCGGCGAGCAGGCTGTGCAGCATGCGCAGCACCACACCCACCTGCCTCCACCACCTGGTGGCCGCTAGGTGATTGGAATGTGGTGAAGAGAAGAAAAGGGGAAGGGGTGGTAAGAGATGCCTGTAGACGAGAGGCATGCAGTGTGCAGAGGCAGGTGATGCAGCGAACGAGACATTTGACAAAACGGTGTGCCACTGCCCACATGCCACTGCCCTGCCCCCATGCCACTACCCACATGCCACTACCCACATGCCACTACCCACATGCCACTACCCACATGCCACTACCCACATGCCACTGCCCACATGCCACTACCCATGTGCCACTGCCCTCACGCTACAGCTCGTTCGTCACATGGTCATACTTATTACTGCCATGCCGCCAATGCCACCCACCAGTGGAACGATCTTCTCCACATCGATGCTTGCTGCCGCGCTTTACTTGCCCTCGCAACCCCACACGACCTCTCCGCGCTGCCACCACAGCTGCCACAATCAGAGGTGCTGTTCGTTTTACCGCCACACCGGTGGTCACGCGTGCAAGCGGTGGAGAGCAGAGAGGTGTCCTCCCCTCCCATGAGGCCGCGCTGGGACTCTTCTTCCACCGCCTCGCCAGCGTAGTCACCCGCTTCCACAGGGGCGTTGGGGGCATGAGTGGCGGAGCAGGAGGAGGAGGGGGGGAGGAGGGGGGAGTGGCGCAGAGCAGCGAGGCGGATGAGCCAGCCGGTGATGAGCGCTGCTGCTCCCAGCGCCAGCAGCACCACGATGCTCCACCCACTGCGTGCCATGGTGGGAGGGGGCATACACAGGGAATATTTAGTCAGGCGAAGAAGCAGGAAAGGTAGGGCAGGGAGGAAAGGATGACGACTGAGAGTGAAAGAGAATGTTGAAACAATTAGTGAGCGATCCTACCACGTGGATTAGATAAGGCCGGTAGGAAGACGAAGGACCTCCTATCATGTGCCTTGACACGCAAGCAAGTGAGAGTGCGAGCAGAGGACCGGCAGGGAGAAACGTGAAAGGCATTGAAGGGCCTTGATGCACGCGTTGAGGCCTGCCTTGTGGCCTGTGACATTGCACTCACCTCATCTTGTGGCCCTCGGCTGCTGGAACACCTGGTGGGTCACCTGGCGGAACACCTGGTGGGTACAAGGTTCAAAAATACGACCGTATTTTTGAAATTTTACCGTAAATTACGGTATCGTAATTTACGATCGTAAATTACGGTAAAAAACGGTTCGACCTTGCAAAGTTAGGTTGGTTCAAAAATACGGTCGTAAATTACGACCGAAATTTTGAAACCGAGTTTGGGTCTAGCGAATTTCAACATTTCCCAACCATTACCCTGCTTGTGAGAAGTTTCGTGCGCCCAAATCCACGAGAGTGTGTTTTTTTTCCCGCGTAGTGTGGGGAGGGAGTAGGAGAAGATGTGCCTAAAGGTAGATACTACTAGGTAGGCTTAGCCATGGTAGTCGTGTAGTGGTCCATTATAGGCTTGTTTCTCTGTAGTGTAGTTTGTTGTCGCCATCCTAGTCATCGTTGTAAGCATTCTTGAAGTTTCTGGAAAACAAAAAAATGCCGCAAAAAAAGTCCATTAAAAAAACGACCGTATTTTTGCCAAAACCACCGTAAATTACGACCGTAATTTACGAGCCGTAATTTACATTTACCGTATTTTTGAACCTTGGGTGGGTCACCTGGCGGCTCACCTGAACTGGTGGATTGGCCCTCACGATACACCTGCTGGTTCACCTGGTGGCTCACCTGGTAAGTTGGCCCTCTGCGCCCTGTGAGCCCACCTGGTGGCCCTCTGCGCCCTGTGAGCCCACCTGGTGGCCCTCTGCGCCCTGTGAGCCCACCTGGTGGCCCTCTGCGCCCTGTGAGCCCACCTGGTGGCCCTCTGCGCCCTGTGAGCCCACCTGGTGGCCCTCTGCGCCCTGTGAGCCCACCTGGTGGCCCTCTGCGCCCTGTGAGCCCACCTGGTGGCCCTCTGCGCCCTGTGAGCCCACCTGGTGGCCCTCTGCGCCCTGTGAGCCCACCTGGTGGCCCTCTGCGCCCTGTGAGCCCACCTGGTGGCCCTCTGCGCCCTGTGAGCCCACCTGGTGGCCCTCTGCGCCCTGTGAGCCCACCTGGTGGCCCTCTGCGCCCTGTGAGCCCACCTGGTGGCCCTCTGCGCCCTGTGAGCCCACCTGGTGGCCCTCTGCGCCCTGTGAGCCCACCTGGTGGCCCTCTGCGCCCTGTGAGCCCACCTGGTGGCCCTCTGCGCCCTGTGAGCCCACCTGGTGGCCCTCTGCGCCCTGTGAGCCCACCTGGTGGCCCTCTGCGCCCTGTGAGCCCTCCTGGTGGCCCTCTGCGCCCTGTGAGCCCACCTGGTGGCGCGGTCAGCAGCGAGGATGGAGGTGGAGAAGGAGGCGAGGACGAAGAAGAGGAAGCGCGGCCAGATGGGCACTTGTGCGGCGTGCAGGAAGGCCAGCAGCACGGCCAGGAAGCTGGAGTAGAAGTCCGCGAACTGCAGCGTGGGGTAGCGTGCAGCGCACCAGCCGTCCGTGTCACACAGGTGGTAGAGGGCGCTGCAGAGGCCGTTGAGGGAGAACATCACCCACTCGGGGTATGCCTGGTGGCGGTCAGTCAGCGCATGAGTGGGAGTGGATAGAGAGGGAGGGTGCGAGAGTGTGGTTGAGGGGGAGCAGATGAGAGGGATGCAGTGGTGAGGGTGGGTGTGAGGAGGGACGGAGTGATGCAGAGTGGTGCAAGTAAGCACGGGTTGTGACCACCATGGCTTACCCCCAGGGACAGCGACACCATGGCTGGCAGCACTGCCACCACGTTGCTGCCCACCAGCGCCCACCGCTGCTGCTGTATGCCTGCCAGGTGCAGCAGGCGACAAGCAAACGGCAGTGGGAGGATGGAAAAGGGAGAGAGGAACCAGGGAGATAGCCAGAGAGAGGAACCAGGGAGATGGCCAGAGAGAGAAAAGACGCGCAGGTGCAGTTGAAGAGAGTACCATTTGGGCTTGCAGCACTCATGAGTCACGGAATAGGTGGGTTGGGTAGGAGAGACGAGAGGGGAGGTGGAGAAAGGGGATGTGGGAGAGAGATGCAAAAGAGTGAGCGTGGTGCGCACAAGATGATGATCCGTGCGACAAGGTGTAGACAATGGTGTTTCACACTGTACCGCTGCTCCAACCAAGCAAGCAGCACACACTCAGCAGCACGCACCTAGCTGGGAGACGGTCTCAATGGAGCAGTCCACACCCCCATGGGACCGATCGCAGAAGCAGTAGCTGTGGGGAGGGGCGAGGTGGGGGCAGTTGTTGCGAGACAGCGGAGGCACAAACAAGAGCAGTGCTGAAACTTGAACTCCGTCCAGCGCAGGGTGAATGGGCAAGCAAGACAGGTGAGTGAGAGGGGGGAAGAGAGGATGCGGGGGGATGGTGAATGGGGGGGATGGTGAATGGGGGGGATGGTGAATGGGGGGGATGGTGAATGGGGGGGATGGTGAATGGGGGGGATGGTGAATGGGGGGGATGGTGAATGGGGGGGATGGTGAATGGGGGGGATGGTGAATGGGGGGGATGGTGAATGGGGGGGATGGTGAATGGGGGGGATGGTGAATGGGGGGGATGGTGAATGGGGGGGATGGTGAATGGGGGGGATGGTGAATGGGGGGGATGGTGAATGGGGGGGATGGTGAATGGGGGGGATGGTGAATGGGGGGGATGGTGAATGGGGGGGATGGTGAATGGGGGGG